AGACAACAAATGGAGCTTCAGTGCGTGATACTTTGCTTATGTTTCGCCGGCTGTTCATGGGGGGAGAGCTGAGCCAAATGGACGCCACCCTGCTTGGGGCGTATGTTCAAGAACTTGCGATTGCATCGGCCGCACGTGCGCGGGCGACCAAACGAATGAATCGCCCGTTGCATTGTGTGATGACCATAGGGAGGCATTTCCTAGTTCTCGACGCCATCGTGTCTGCACTGCATGTCCTAGGGGTGTCGCCGCCATCTTGCACGTGGTGGGAGGCCTTTGTCGAATGCTTCGATACGGACTACCGGTATACGGCAGCTGGGCGCCGCGTCAAAGAGAGTGGCAAGGTCAACATCGACCTTGCCAATCGTCTACTGGCTGCCATAACTATCTTCAAAACAGGGAATCGCCCAGATCTCGAGGAAATTATACATTTGAAGTGGATCCTCTTCTTCTCTGTACACTCACCATGGCGATTCAGGGCTCCCGCTTGGGACACGTGGAGAAGAGATTATTTGGAGTTTCAAGAAAAGGAACCTGAGCTCGCTGCATGGTTGGTGTGGCGAAGACAATTGCCGCATTAGCAGCTTCCATTCTGCACTTGACCCAAAGCGCTAAAATAGCGACNGTGTGGCGAAGACAATTGCCGCATTAGCAGCTTCCATTCTGCACTTGACCCAAAGCGCTAAAATAGCGACGTCTTGAGGTCCAGATGTGTGATTATAGAGCTGTTTCTGCACGTAGAGCTTCTACGACCGCTGGGCGAGAGGGCCCGCGTCATGGTGGATGGGGATATGCCGGTAAGCGATCTTTTAAAGTGAACATCAGAAGGCTATTCTGGCCAGGTAGCCAGGACCGCGCCTTTGTCGCATTTTACTGGCTCACAGCTGATTGCTGTGGAGCCTTCACAGCCTTCTTTCTTTTGTTCATAGTGGGCCTTTTCCCCGGCTTACTGCGTGTATTGCCGTTAAATTCCCTCTTCCTACGTTGACAAGTCACGGAACATATGCTGCTTTATTTTTGGCCAGATAGCACTGTAGCACGAGCGGTGACGATGGTAGTTCCTATAAGTTTTCGAGGCGTACCATAGGGGTAGGCCATATGGCATGTATTCACTACATGTTGCACGTTGAAGCATGAAGCATCGGATGAACAGCACTCCGTCGTGCATGGCCGTGGGGCGTCGCCTCATATTTTTAATAGTTGGTGTCGTCTACAAGAGGGGAGCTTTTTTCTCTACCTGCTGCAGCCTACGCAGGCACGCAAGGGATTCTAGTACACCACACACGATCGACGGGC